GGCCGAAGGCCGGCTATTTACAAAGAGTGCCGAAATTATGAACCTTTTGTTCGCGTTAGCCGGGGTCGGACATACCCATAGGTGAAAATCTCAAGCCCCGGCCGAAGGCCGGCTATTTACAAAAAGTGCCAAATTTAGAAAACTTTTGTTATTCCGACGACTGCTACGCGAAATAAACACTTTTTTTTATTAAAAACATAATTTTAATGAACTGGTTAGAATCGGGTTATGCGGATGGAAAGACCCATATCTCTGGAACCGAAAAAGGTATTAGCACAAATTGTAGCATTTTGGAAAGGTAAGAGTGTCAGCTATAATTTGGAAACAATTTTGTTGACCCCCATAATGGGCCCTTTTTTGACTTTTTGGAGGTTTCATAAAAAATCCGGGTCCAAAAAATCGATAATTTGACTATAACTTCCGAACCATGAAAACTTACCCCTTCATGTGACCACTTGTTGGATAGGTATTTCCATAAGCTTTCAATCGATACCCATATTGTCTATATCGGGTAAGTGGATCCGGGTCCAGGCGGGGTCTTGATCCCGGACTTTTGGGTCAAAAATCTGGGGTCCCGGGTCCGTCCCCCAAGAAAAAAATAGTTTCCCGGGATCAGGGTAAAAATACCTACCTCTGGAAAAAATTTCGAAAAAATCTAAGAGTTTTTACTAAACTAGAGTTGTTCCCTTGTTTCAGTAGTCAATGTATTTTATTTCAATTGGTATCTCCACAAAGTCTGAAAAGGGTCTGTATTAAACAAAACAAAAAAAAATATTTTTTACATTTTTATAATTACTATTTTTTAATTAATTTCTTTTTTTTCAAAGGGATTTTTTTAATATCTTTGTGTCTGTTGCACTTTATATATTAGCTGTTAGTTTTATTTTGCATATATTTTAATTTGGGGTAATTCGCACCTTTTTTCAATAATTTTAGATTTGTATTGATGTTCTCATTTTAAAGTTGATTATAGAGAGTTTTGAATTATTTCTTCATAAAATGTTCTCTTAGTTGGTCCATTGTGAGTTTAAGCCGATACAACCATTATTTTCTTTATTTTTGGTTCAGTTTCATTATTTAATTTTATCAGTTTTATTTTAAACGTAATTAAATTTATGCGGCTTAAAAATTAATTGTTATCAAATTTTTGTATGCCCTCAAAATGTTTAGAAATATAAAAATTTGTATTTTTTCAAACAACTTTTAATATGTGTTCATGATTAGTTTAAAATTTTTTGATTAAATATTGTTAGCTATTTTTCATGTTTTTTTATTTTTTTTTTGTTTTTAATTTCAAAGGTATTATTTAATTTATTTTTATATACTTTATTAAATATATTTTATTAAAAAATGCGTGATTTGGAGTTATATGTCTTCATTTAGTTTTAAAGGCATCTGAAGTACTTTTTATTATTATTATTTTTTTTTATTTAATAGTTATTTTGTTTCCTTTTAATTTTACAACGTTTTTTTTTTAACATTCATAACATTTTTTAGGCGTCCATTTTATTAAGGATTTGAATCCTTAGTCACAAGTTTTTAATATTTAATGTTTACATATCTCACTTTTTATTTTCAAATTTAATTTACGTTTAAATAATAATTATCATTATGTTATGATTATTTTTTTTTATAATTTAAATTATTTTCCCCCATTTTTACTATTTAATTTATGTCATTTAAAGTTTAAGGGTTTCGAATTTAATTCATATAATCAATTTGTTTTTTTATACTAACATTTTGTATTTTGTAATAAATAATTTATTTTCCAATTATTTTATGATATTAATTTAATATTTTTCTACAATTATTTTTATTTTTTTTTTTTCATTTTTATTATTTATTTTATGTTATTTAGAGTTTAAGAGTTTTAAATTTAATTCACGTAATCAATTTGTATTTTTATACACATACTTTGTATTTTATAATTAAATAAATTATTTTTCAATTATTTGATTCTCATAGAGTTTTTTATTTTAATTATTATTTGTCTTTAATTTCTTTAAATAGCCACTTTGCATAGACGTGTTTTTCTCTGTTTTATCTGCTATCTTAATAACTTGATGCAGTTGGAATTCTTTCTCATGGTTCAGAAACCAGTTTTCTCTTTTTGTGGAAGACAACAACATAGTCACTTCCAGGTGGGTACATATCTTGGAAATATTTTAAGAAGGCTTTAAATAAATTATTTGTTGCATTAATTTTTTATTGTTTATTATTTTTTGATTAAAATGTTATTATTTTCAAGAGTATTAATTTGAGGAATTGTTTTTATTTAATTTATTATTATTTTATTATAATGTTATTATTCCAAAGAGTTTTAATTTGAAGAAAGCTGGCCTCATTTCAAAATGGTTGCTTTGTTGTAGCCGAACAATTACAAAATCACATTTTTCGTTTTTTTATTTATTGAATATTATTTTAATGTTAAAATGATTTAACATTTTTCACCTGATTTTTAGTTCTAATAATTTTTCGAATTTTTCTAATAGTTTTTTGTTTTTAATGTTTAAGTTATGTTCAAGTTTTTCCTTATTCGAATTTTTTATGAAACACTGGTTTTAAAATGATTTTATTTTTTATAACCTTTCTTTCAATTATTTTTTTTTTTTTTTTTTTTTTTGAAATTTTCAAGTTTATTTGAGGTTTTTCTTTTTCGATTTTTTATTTTTAATAAAACACTGGGTTTAAATGATTTTATTTTATCGCCTTATTTTTAGTTTAAATAGTTTTTCTTTTTTTTTACTTTTAAATTTAGTTACAATTTTTTCCTTTTTCGACCTTTTTTATTTTCAATAAAACGCTGGTATTGAAATGCTTTTACTTTTTTCAACTTACTTTCAGTTCTAATTGTCTTTTTTTATTTCTTTTGTAATTTTTAAATTTGGTTCAAGTTTTTCCTTTTTAGATTTTTTTTCATTTTAATTAAAACACTGTTTTCAAAATGATTTTACTTGTTCCATCTTAATTTTGAAGTTCTATTTTTTTGAAATTTTTATGTTTAGTTAAAGCTTTTCCTTTTTCGATTTTTAAACGGATTTGATTTTTTCGCCTTATTTTTAGTTCAAATGGTGTTTTTTTAAGTTCAGTTAAAAGTTTTTCCCTTTTTTTTGACTTTTTTATTTTTAATAAAACGCTGATTTATAATGATTTTACTTTTTCCACCTTTCTTTCAGTTCTAATTGTTTTTTTTTTTTTTTTTTATTTATTTATTTACTTTTTATTTATATTATTTATTTATTGTTTTTATTATATTTTTATTTATTATTTTTTTTTAATATTTAGTTTAGTTTTTCCTTTTTCGACCTTTTTAATTTTAATAAAACTCTAGATTTATTATTTTTAAGCTTATTTAATTTCATCACTTAAAATTAATTTCCAAAAATTTTGATTATTTTTCTTGATTTTTTCTCACATCAACACCTAATTCCAATAGCCATTCACATTTATGCCATGGAAAAAACAAACAAATTTTCCATGACTTTATTTTGAATTTCCTCGAAATAAAAAAGACAGAAGAAGAAAAACAAGAAAACCCAAATACCCTCAAATCATATGTTTTTCCACCTTTAATGTGAACGAACGAAACCAAAGGCAGAATATTTTACTTCTTTAGGATGAGTACCTGCTGCTGCTGGCTAAACATCATTGCTTTAATCTTGTACGCCACCAATACACACATACACACAGATAAACTAATGTACACACACACTCGCGGAGTTATATCCAAGGCAAGAAATATGCGCCTTATTTTCTGGTACCTTTTGAAAAATAAACCCAAAGCAGCAGATACTACCTTGTTGTAATAGCTTCTTCTTAGCTAGGCATTTTTGTTTTCTTTGTGGATTAGAAGAAGAAGATACTATTCCTGGATGTTAAGATACTTTTTTGTTGTTGTTGTTGTTCTAGGGGTTTTGTTGTTGGTATATATCCTCTTGTTTTCTTTTTTTTATTGGTTGGTTGCTAGATTTAAATTTTATCTCAATTTTAACACAGTTGGATTTAGTTTTGTTTTGGTAGGATATATTTTTATATTGGATATATTTGAGGGGTTTTCATTCATATTCGGTTGGGCAGAAGATGCCTTCTATTGTTGTTGTAAAATTTGACGGTTTATTTCTTTTTTAACACACACATATACATTTGTATAGAACTCCATGCAAGAAATTAGTAAAATAATCCACTATTAGAAGGTTGGACAACCTAAACTGGTTTCCAATTATTTTTTTTTTTAAACGGAACATTTTATGGATTCCTGGAAATCGCAGCCGCCACAACTTTTAAAATTGTAGATACAAAAAAAATAAGCAGAAAATAAATAAACATTTTTTATAGGTTCCAAGTTGTAGTAACACGAACGAACAAGGCACACACAAAAAAACAACAACAGCAAAAACACTTGAACGGAGTTGCCATAAAAAAATGCAAACACACGCACACACACATACGTTGAAAATATTTCATTTCCGGAATACTTTTTCTTTGGCGAACTCCATTTGGCACAACACAGGGGCCAGGCCTTAGGCGAAGAAGCAACTATTTAAGAGATACAAATGTAACTTCTTGGCCAAGAGTTGAGGCTGGAGATGGTCACACAAACTTCAATACTTTTCTTTGTTTAAATAAACTCCGAAACTCCGACAGGGAGAGAGAGAGGTAAAAAACTTTCTTTAAACATTAATTAAAACAAAATAATAGCTTCATTTTCCAGCCACTTCGTTTTTCTTCTCGTTATTTCAATTTATTTTCTTGCTTTCTTTCTTTCTTTTTTTCGTTGTGTTATTTTGTAATAAACAAAAATTAAATTATTTCTCTATTTTTTTCTTCTTCATTTCACTTTTTTCCCATTCTTTCTTCAATTTCTTTACAGCACAAAAAAAAGAATAATTTTTTTTTATACACCGACGACGACAACGAAAAGAGAAATACCAAATAAATACGAGAAGAAACACAAAAAATAATTAAAAGAAAACAACAAAGGAAACACAAACGCAACGCACACCCAGAATTCGGAATTCTTCTTTTCCACAAAACGCCGCTGTATGGAGTTGGTATCCTCCTTTTCTCGTTGGACTAGCCAGAGCCAGCCATTTCACAGCTATCCACATCCAAACATTTATCCACCAACAAGCTGTAATGCTGATGATGAAGCAACGGCAAAAAAACGATTAAACACACGAACGGACAAACGAAACGAATGCAACATAAAATATACACGACACACCACGGAATAAAAATACGGTACTGGTAAATACGGCGACGGCGGCACGGCAACACGACAACGACAACGGTCCGTATAACCTAAAGATACAATACAATCTTTGACACTGACTTATGAGAAAACTGTCAAATTTGTATGGAGCCATACAATGTGAGGATGGCTTTGTGTGGCCAGTGCAGGCACAGTGCTGTTGTGTCACAAGCAGAGAATTGAGCGAAACATATAAATAAGGAGAGTAAAAAATACAGTGAGATAGAGTAAAATTGGGAATTGTGTGTGAGAGGGAGAGTTTGTTAGGGAGTTCACAGAGAGTTCATGTCACACATTTATGGAGAGATGAGTGCTTGAATTGTTACAGTAAAGTGTTGACAATTTGGCGATTTTTTCACTACTTTCTATGTAATGGAAAATATGGACGTTCTTGGAGTTGCATGTTATAATATAAATATTATTTTGTATATTCTTTTTATTTTCAATAGTATAAAACAATGCTATATTACTAATTCACAGTTTAATCCAAAATTTGAAATTAATTTTGTTTTTAAACAGTGTTTTATTTAATTATCATTCTAGACCAAATAAAGGTAGAAAATAAATAGTATGGTTACCTTCATAAGGGTATGAATTTTCAATTAAAATAAAAATGAGATTAAATAAAAAGAAAAAAAGTACCTTTCTAATATTTGGAATTCATTTTGTCTTTTAGTATAGGTACTGTTTTTAACTGATTTTAGTTTAACTTAAACTTAAACATTAGGAATAAAATCAGGTAATTCATAGGTGCATAGGCATCAATCTTCATTAAGGAGATTTTTTAATTGATGTTTAACTTTTTAATTTTAACAAGCTTGGCATATAAACAATAATTTCATCGTATCGACGATTTTTAAGTTCTGTACATTGTAGATGATACAATTTCGGACAGTTATCACATCCTAAGTTTTTGAGGGTATCGTTTTCCGTATCATTGTCAAGTTCATCGTTACAAGAACTATATATTTACCTTTTCTTTCCTTTTTTTGCCGTATATTTGTGAATTGATCTTTTTCCTTTAGATAGCCAAAATTTTTTTCAAAAATGCCCCCGCTATCTAAAACGTCAAATAGCTGATTTAAAACACCTCCTTATTTAAGAAAAGTTGGTCAAAAAGCACAAATAAAAGCAACTGCCGACTCAAAACTATTTTTTTTTCTTTGAGTAGTTTTTGGATTATTTTTTAATACTTTTCTCTAATTTCGGTGAAATTGGTCAAAAATTAAATTAAATTTCAAAACTGCCGACTATTGGGACATGCCGAACTTAGGTTCACTTACCCTATGTGGCTGGAAAACCACAAGTGGCTATCGTTAGAGCACTCCAGGATTTAAACGTGAATAAATCTTATGTGTTTCCTACCATTGCCGTGGTACTTCTAACGTAGCCCGACGACAAGGAAGTAGACGGAAGAAAACAGCAATAACAGCAGCATTGGTTCGAAAAGTAAAGAATCGACTTGATCGAAAGCCACGTCGCAGTGGCCGAAAAATGGCTCGTGAGCTGAACATGTCGCAATATTCCATTCGGTAAATATTGGAAAATGAGCTCGGGTTAAAGCCATTGAAATTCCAAAAAGTGCAAGAACTTACACCGCTATAGATAGAAAATAGACTCAAAAGAGCTACTTTGCTTGGCCGAGTAGTGGTAAACTGCCGAATTTGGTTTTCTCCGATGAGAAAACATTCGTTGTAAACAAACAAAACGATCGTGTTTACGTGCCAAAGGGGTCTGCTGAAAATTGGCACCTTCGCTTGCCCACCACAACTCAAGCGCCGGCCATGGTGATGGTGTGGGCCGCTATAACAGCAGATGGTCTCTCTCCGCTCGTATTAACCGACCTTGGCATCAAATGCCAAATATTATCGAGAAAATATTCTGGACGGTGTATTTAACACTTTGGCAAACATTTTGGCCGCAGATCTTAGACATTCCAATAGCACTCAGCACCATCGCACTCAGCACGCGCCACACAAAAATGGTTACAAAATGAGGTTCCTCGCTTCATTTCCAGCGCACAGTGGCCACCAAAAAACCCGGATACCAATCCGTTGGACTATTGTGTCTGGAGTATTTTGGAAAGCAAGGTTGGCACTAAAAAATACCATCATCTGGAGCAAGCGCTTCGCCGGGAATGGGCCAAAATACATCAAGTACCTCCTCCACAATGGGTCAAAATTTCGTATAAATATATCACTTTTATAAAATGTGACGTTAGAGTCCGATTGTCTTCAAATTACACATTATATTTTTAATTAAACCAAGGTTGTGTGTGACGACGGACGAAATCGGTCCGTGGTAGGGATCGGACCATTTCTTTTGATACCTCTCCCACAAAGGTTCGAAGTTTTGTATTACCAAAACGATTATAAAAGTAATTTCCATATTTCACGCATCCCATTATTTCTGCTAACACAAGATCTGCTGTGAAGGTGGAATATATTGGTTCACTCCTTCTGGTACCTACCCCAACAATTTTGAATATTCATGAAGCTCATAAAATACGAAATTAACATCCTATTCCATTCAAACTTGTTACATCTCAATGTTTGCATCAACACAAGATCTGTTATAACAAGTAAAAAAGCTGTAAGTTCAACCGGGCCGAACTTTCAATACCCTCCACCATTTGGAACGAATTTGGCAATAGTCAAAAAAAAAAAAAAAAAATAATAAATAAATAAATCACTTAAAAATTCTATTAACATTTTAAAAATACAAAAGGTAGCCGTTATATTAGGGTCTATCCGACGACGTGGACCTGCATAGGCAACTTCTATCATAAGTCATTACAACATTCAAATGTGAAACTTGAAAAAAAATCGGTGAGTAAAATCATCGAAATTCCGAATATCGAGAGGTGTCGTTATATGGGGGCTATACGAAGATGTGGACGTGTACAGACAATTCTCTGTCGTAGGCTGTAGTAACCGATTTTTTTCGAACGTGTGGTATTTCAGGACGAAAACGAAGAAAATCGAGCTCAACAGTGCAATAAGAATTTTTTTTATAAAAAGTACTCAAATAATAATGAACCAAGACATTTGTGGAATTTAACAGACCAATTTCGGCTTTCGGGGAAGTAACGATTTTTTTTTTAAAATTAAACCACATTACTATCGCCGATGTGGAGATTTTTACATGAAATCCTTCTTGGCGTTTTCCGTTGTAATGCAAACATTTACAACACTTTTGGTGTTTTTTTGAGTATTGATTTGTGTACACATGGTGGTGTGCGTGTGCGTATCTATGAGAGTTATTTTAGGAGAGAGAGAGCGCCCAAGCAACATTATTCTCTCTGAAAAAAACTCTGAGATACAATCCTAAGAGAGCATATGTCAACTGAGAGGTGAGAATAATTACCTACAGAAGGTCCCAAATGCTGAAGAAGGGACAGCCACGGAGATGAATGGATGGATGGACAGATTGGCAGACGAACAAACAGAAGTATTGAAACATGAACAGACATACAACACACATTTTTATAGTTTGTTTACAAATTTTATTTTTATATTATTTTCGTTAAAGGAATTTGTTGTTGTTGATGTCGTCCATGTAGTTGCAGCATATTCTTATGGGGTCGCACAAGAACAACAACACAAAACACCAAGAATGAAGTATGGCAACAACAATAATAAAAATAATTCTACAGCAGTACCGCAGCACCACTGCACTGTAACGTCCTATAACGAAAGCAGCAACAACAATGTGTATCCTTTTTAAAGATTTGAATTTCTGATTTGAATAATAATAAAAATAATAATGTAAATAATGTAAATAATGTAAATAATAATAATAATAATAATAATAATAATAATAATAATAATAATAATAATAATAATAATAATAATAACAATAATAATAATAATAATAATAATAATAATAATAATAATAATAATAATAATAATAATAATAATAATAATAATAATAATAATAATAATAATAATAATAATAATAATAATAATAATAATAATAATAATAATAATAATAATAATAATAATAATAATAATAATAATAATAATAATGATAATAATAATAATAATAATAATAATAATAATAATAATAATAAAAATAATAATAATAATAATATATAGATCTAATAATTTACAAAAAATACGATGTTCCTACTACGCCAAATATATAAATTGCCCCTTCGGAGAGAACATAAATTTTACATTCGAATTTTTTTCTATGTATATTGAATATTTTATTTTCATTGCATTCTTGAAATAATGTCATATAGTTCCACAAAATTTTTACCTAGGCTTTTTGGACATGAGAGAGAAATCGCCAAACTCAACTGTGTAACCTGTAATAAGAAATTCTAATGAAAGTGGTACAACTGAAAATAAAGCGTGATATGGTAAACCGAAAGTGTTGTTCAAAGGAGATGTTAGCAGTATTCTCAAGAAAGTACGTCAGGATCCGAAAATAAGTGCGGTGATATTGGCGGAATATGTGGAAATATGTTCAGACAAAATCGTCAATCTGAGAACTGTAAAAAATGTGCAACGTGAAAATAGATTTAGACGTAGAGTAGCACGTATGAAACCGATAATTTCGGAGAAAAAAACTGAAAACGGTTAGAGTTTGTCAAATTTCATATAGACAAGGAAATTGATTATTGGCAAATGCAACTACAACATTTTCGGAAGTAAAAGTCGATCAAAAACTTGGAGAAAACCCAACACAGCACTAGATCCCAAAAATATAAAATCCTACAGTTAAACAAGGTGGTGTTGGGGATTTAGTTTTCCCGGAAAGACTATGGACCGATATTTATAACGGGTGGCGCAAAAATTCTCCTCCTATCAGAAAATGCTATATATTTTACGATTGGCCGATTGGATTAGTAAACACATGCGAAATACACGTTAATAAATGATGTTACGCTACACTGTTCCAGAACACGGAATATTGGTGACTATTTATTTGACCAATAATCGGTTGGTGCCATTGACACTACGTGAATTTCGTGGCAGATTTCCTTGCCGGCCAACGCCTACACTGCGGCACAACAAAAGATGCTGCCAGACGTGGCAGTCCCCGGAGTATACGTTTTGCAGAGTATATTGCTGCTGTAGCTGAGGATGTCATGGAAGCGCCGTCGACATCTACCAGACGACGTGCAAAGCAAATGGGTATCAGTCTTTACAGCGAATTTTGGTACAAGATTTGAAGACGTTTCCGTACAAGGTACAGATGGTGCACCAACTGTTAGTCATTTTCAATCACCACCAAGAAGAAGATGATTTTTCATCAAAAATGATCTAAGTGACGAGGCCCATTTCCATCTTAGTGGGAACGAAAATAAGAAAAATTTAAACTTCTGGGGCACTGAAAATCCGTGTGTAACCCACGAAGAGCCATTA